TCAAGCTTTGGGTCTCTTTTCTGATCCTAAATTTACTTTTGCTTTTACAGTGGTCAGGCTTGGGCCTTCAGTGTCCGAGCCTGGAATGTAATCACTACCATCACTGTTTGTCTGCTGAAGTACACGACTTATAAGCAGACACAAACCCAGTCAGGGGCCTGGTATAGTTAGCATCAGATTATTCAGATGTTTAGCAGCTAGAACTTGAGTTCATCTCTCAATTTCTGCATATTAAAATGCTAGCTCTAGCTCTCTTTCAGTTTATCTCAGATTCCTGCATATTAAAATGTTGGTCTTCATTGCTGTCACTCTAAACTAGTCCTGGTAATGCCGTGTTCAAACTACGTGAATTTTTTGTCTGTCTATCTATTTGTTAGGATGGACACAGCGTCTGGCAGTTATAGCTTGCCGTCTTTCACAACCTGTGAGATGTTTTCAGTAAAGAGATATGTATGAAAAGCCCAAAAAAGAAATTAAATGAATGTGACTTTTCCTGTTTCACAGTTCAATCTTTGCTACGTTTACACTCATGCACGGAAGCACCCTCTTTGCTCCTGTTGGTCAGCATCACAAACGTGTCGTGGAATTTGTCTCGAAGGGCTAAAGAATTTCTGACATGGTCGTCTCTTTGGCGGGTCATCTTGCAGTCGTGATCCATTTTGATATCATGTAGTCTGAACCTGGCATAACTTTGTGTTGCTAATAATAGCCAACATTAATTCTTCTAACAAAAGTAAGCATTAGCTGCATTGTTAAATATATGCAAGCCGTTTAGTATAGTGTCAAATAATGGTAAATTCCCAAATTTCTTTTCTTCACATGGAGTTCAGTTTTGGTTAACTTTAATTTCGAAGTCGCAGCTTCAACCAATAGCAAAAAAAAGACCATGTGCATTTGTGCGTGCGTGACTGTGCCATAACCGTAAACACAGTCTGAGGCGGAATCTGATCGGCCCCTCTTTTTACATTCCAAGCACTGATTGGCTTCTATTCAAATTATAAAGCCATTAATGCATAAAAGTAATAATTTATCTACACAAATTGTTAATAACTTGTCATATTAATAACTAATTCTTGACAAGAAAGACAGATATAACCTCATAATTCCAAGGCCGTGATTAGTAAACAAAAAGAGGAAGAATTTTTTCCTTTTAAACTCATGGCTGTTCATTCTTTTGTAGGTATTTCATCTTACTTGTCAGAGAAAAAAATGCAGAGGGCTTCCGATCCATCATCATGGGTGAACAGGGATTCATTATACAGGAGCACTGGTTATTCCTACAATGTGACAAAGTGTTAATACAACAGTTTCATTGTTGTGATTATAGCGTTATGGCAAAAGCTTAGTTGTGACCTTTAACCTGTCGCCAGAGGCATTAAAGTCGCCGGCCTTTTGGTGAAGGTAGACTGTCAGAACATGCCCAATCCATGTGTTAGTCCACAGGCCAACAGCAACAAGCACTGTGAGGTACACGTGAGGGGTCTACTGTAACTGTCATTGCTACACACAAGTCCTGACTTGCCTCCTCACATAGCAGAGTTTCACCGTCTCCCTCAGTATTACTTTGAGTTTGCTTCAGCTTCATAGTGGGAAATCTCTCATTAAGCCTGCATGCAGAACATCTGAAGCAAGCTTGTTCAATTTTGATGTTCATGACTATTTGATCCTTCCCAAAAGATAAAACGATATTTTTAAATTAACCAGAGCACAGTAGACTTCATTACAAAGCCTGTGTTGTTTGGGGAAATGGACCAGTGTCACGATCCTGCCCTGACAAAGACTCTATCGGTAAAGCCTGTTAATGGATGAATGATACCACATCCTTTCTGTTATTTCAATGGGAGGACCATTCATTGATGGTAATTCTTTTCTTTTCATATAAAATGTAAAAAGCAAGCAAAAGAGGGATATGCAGCCTTCTGTAAGGGGAAAACAACCCCGGCAGCAATATTAAAAGACTATTCCCATTTACCAAAAGCCCAGGAGACTTGAAGGATTTGGAATTCATTGTCAGATCTTATGCATAATTAAGCAAATCCCCCCACCCAACCAGCCACCCCACCTGCCCAGAGGGATTTTCATGCTGCTGTGCTTCTTAGACAGTAGGTGGTTGTTACAGTACCTCAGCCCTACTAGGCTAGAATCAGTTTCCCGTTTTTATTAGCTACTGATGTTACACACATAGACATGATTCCTGCAAAACATGACAATGTTCGACTTCACAACTTCCTTTATATCCATATTTTCCTGCGGGCTGTTAAAGCTAAAATACACAAGGATCTGGCAGCCTGCAAGCCACAGGCCAGTTCTGTGTCTTGTTTATGCCGCCTGCTGTGAGCTGACAAAAGATGGCTTTGTTGGAAACTGAGTGTGAAGAAAGGCCTGAGAGTTAATGCTCTGTTTGGTGTTCCAGGAGTTTTCAGCGTATTTGTCTGGGTTCGCAGTCTGGGTCAGAGTATTACGACACTGTTGGCCAAAGGAACCAAATTCTATTCAACCTTGAAATTTTGTGAGTAGCTAAAATGGGTCCTTTTCATGTGTTTCAGATGCTGTGTTACATGGACAGCTGCTGTTTAACTAGCATGTTCACCATTATTTAGCAATGGTCTGTCCACACAATGTGTTATTTAAGCCCCATCTTATTGGTTGACTCATTGAGGCGACAGTCTTTTTTTTGGCGAAAGCGCCATCTGAGTGAAACGGGGGAAGGCATTTACACATCCAAGGTAGCGTCTCCGCTGTGCTCTGCCTCCGATGGCTTATTAACCATGACACCAGTCTGCTCGGGGAGAAGGCGTATCACACAAAGAGCAGCTCCCTGAGCCACCCGTCATCTTTGTGTCTGCTCTCTTGTGTCTGTGTGTTAACCTGCACGCACTGTTTAACTCACTGGGATGCGACCCCCTTTATGCAGACGTGCCCCGGGGGTACTTATCGACTGTCCGGCCCCATTGACCCCTCTTCACTTCCTCGCCCTCCTCCCCCTTCTCACCCATTCATGATGCCAACCAAAAATGAACCCCTATGTTATGCTCCTTTCATTGTTCCTGCTGCAGCTTTCTGCCTGTTTTTAATATTTATTTCTGAGCTGCATCAATGCTCATCTGGATCAACTCACATGTGCTTACTGTACATCCATAAGAATCACTTAAAGTGACTGAAAACACACCAGTAAGCCTTTATCTCCAATGTTGCCTCTGCTTCCCTCTCCTACCATATTGCCATTCTGTTGCAAAATAAGTGGAGGGCACTGAGGAAGCATCCAAAATGACCGACAAGAACCAGTGACAGCTTCACTAATTTCCCTTGCGTGGTTAGCAAACTGTGCTCTTCTTTGTGCCACGCATTTTCCACCATATGTCACTGCATCGCTCTCACTGCGAGCATGCCTGCTAGCCTGTGTACTGTAGCTTGTCTCCTGTTCAAGATTAGACTCTTGTGAATGAGAGTGGGCTCACACATTGGCTGACTCCAATGTTACATCCAACAGATGCATGGCTTCCTAAATAGCAACAGTCAGGCTGGGCATGCCGGCAGAAGGCTCAGTAGCCTGACACTACCCATATGCACTCTGACCCTCGTCTGCTTATCAGAGGGCTCCCAAGCCACCCCACCTTAGTGTTTTAGTGTGGAAATTAGCATTTCCTAGTGGACCCCCTGCGGCTATATCTTTCCATGATAGCACAGGCTTGAGTCCCTAAATTATCCTTGGCTTAGTGTAATGATTTCCCCGCACTAAGCTGATATTAGAGCTACTTCATGAGCCAGAGTAGGCGGGAAGCTTCAGAAATGAAGAGATACAGAGAAAAGCTACAACAATCCAAAACTGCCCTCTTGACCTCCTTGGTCTGTTTTGTCCATTACTGAAAACTCACTGTAATCATGCAACATGAAACAAATAAAAGCTTTGTTCAAGTAATGTGTTGTTAAGGGACTAGTGTGAAGGATTCAGTGTCGTTTAGCACTGTAGTTGCTGATTGCAACACCCTCAATTAAAGCTGCACTAATCAATAATTCTGTATTCACAATGGAGGAAGCTATGTGTGAACTATTGTGAATGGGGTCACATGTAGTGATGATAAGTGAGAATTATCATCTGCATTTCCTCTAAGCTGCAGAGCATTTTAGCATCTTTCAGGCAATTGTTTGTTCATATGTTCCTTGCTAATGCGTTCATATCATTATTATTTCCCATCAGCCTCAGCTGGACTTAGTGTTTTAGTACCAATTAGTAAATGTTAGCATCCTCACATGCTAAACAAAGATGGTGAACATGGTCAACATTACATCTGCTAAACTTAGCATGCCTGAGAACAGCTTCACAGTGCTTGTAGTTCTTCTGCAAATAACTTAAATGATTATCATAGTTAGGGGTCACTATTGTTGGTAATCTGTTGATAAATGAATTGATTTACTAAAAAGACGATGACTTTTTAGTTCCATCTTAATTAAATTTGTGAATGTGAATCGGGTTTGATGGGAGCTTTACTAAATAAATAAACTGACTCATCTTTAAATTATCAAGGCTTCAAGGCAAAAGAAGGACAGTAACACCACAAAATGCTAGAACACGTCTCTGTATGTGCATCTGTGTCTGACACATGTGCATGTAGGCATGTGCGACATGTCTGCTGTGTGTATGTGCTCCGCTGGTGGCAGTGGGATGAAGTGGATCTCATGTCTGTGTTGAAAACGAGGAGTAGCAGCTGCTCCACCGTCCGTGGGGAAGGTTTGGTTCATGTGGTCTACATGACACTGTCTCAGCGGGTTTAGAGCAGTGGTCTCCACTCCGTCTCTGGTTTCTGCGTCTGGTCTTGTAGCAGTCAGAGGAATTTTTCCAGAGAATGTGTTCTATGAAAATGACACAAGAAAGCAAGTCTATTTGATGCGAAATGATTATGTCATCTTTTACAGTGCCTTGAAATGAAATTTGAATGAAGTTTCTTTTTTATCTGCTGTGTCACAGACTTTTTTTTTCTCTGTCCTTGAATGCACTACAGGCCTTGGCCATGGGGGTATCCAAGAGTAAGCCCAAGGATGTAGGCCAGCGAACCCGCAGCCTCGATGCCAACCTCAGCTCCGGGGGAGGGGCTGGCGGCCACCACCTCAACTCAAATCAACAGTCCTTAACACCCAATCGTAGCCCTACTGTGGATGGAGGTCTCGGTGGCAATCCATCTATGACCAATAATGCAGAGCTGGCCCTGTTTGGAGGCGTGGACAATAATAGTGTCACCTCTCCCAACAGACTCACACTAGCAGGTGAGAAACCTTGGTTTTTAGATGTAGTGGTTTGTTGTGTGAGTGTTTCTAACTGTATGCCCTGTATGTACAATATGTCTTTGGTAATAACCACCTTTTCTCTCCTGATAGGAGGCGTGACAACCTTTGTGGCATTGTATGACTATGAGTCTAGAACGGCCTCAGATCTGTCTTTCAGGAAGGGTGAACGCCTCCAGATAGTCAACAACACGTAAGGAAAATACAGATGACAATCACATGCCTTGTCATCTCTCGTACACATGTACAAACAACTCAAAACTAGTCCAAGAACACTTCTTTAACACACATACACTATGTGAAAGATGGAGAATAACTGCACGTCGACAAGTCCAAAGATTGTCTGTCTGAGTTATGGCTCAGTTGTCTGACTGGCTGCTTTGCACCCCAAAACGCATGTCACTTGTCGTCTCTCTGAAACCTCCTGTAACCATGGGAACGGGCTTCCCTCAGCAGAGCTTGATTTGTGTCAACTGACACGTTTCTGCACAATTCTTGCTTCATTCACAAAAGACTGATTACATCTCGCTGCTCAGTCTGCCTCAGTAGGGACATTGTTATTTTTACTGAAGACCCCTGACCAGGAGACGCAGTGTGAGACCTAGTTACTCAGTACAAATCTAACCTGTTAACGGGGGGGCTCATGCTTGTTTTCAAAATAGGGACTTGCTTTATGAATCAATAGAGGCGCAGTCAACCATGTACTGTAGTGCTGCACCCCCAGTGCTGCTTGCCCACGGACAAACTGCTGACCTAGAAGGCAAGAGCTGAGGACAATAGTGGATTATCGCTGCATCTGGCCCCTTAAGCCAAAGACCTGGATCATTATTGGGTCAAGTACACAGAGAATGCATTAACCATCTCTAAGATTAGTTAACAGGTTATCGCAGTCAAATTAGGTATCAGTCAGGCTCATCTTAGCTTTAGTTGAATTATATAGCCGTGCACATTGAACTGATGTTTTTGTTACGATGATATTTTGACCACTGCATGTTTTTCTCTTAAGCCCCCTACTGCCTAATTATTGAGCCTCCCTCATCTCCAAGTTATGTAATACTTTAAATATTTTCATATCTTTAGCATATGCAGTATATTGGTCGTGTTATGAGTCTGTTCTGTCTACTCTGCTACTCTTCCACTGCTGATAACGTGCTCTCTCTCTGTATCTCTTTAACCCCTTTTCTTTTCCACCATTTCCCTTTCGTCTCTCTTTTCCATTTCTCCATCACAAACCATCACATTTTTTATAGGAGGAAGGTGAACTGCAGGTTTGTGAAGCTCCTTTGGAATTGTATTTGAATGTCCTGTTTGTTTGCCTGTGTGTGTGTCACCTGAAGCAAATACAGTACTTTTGCACTGTAATACCACTTGACTAGTAAGGCACAAACCACATAACTCTGCCCATGCCCCATGAACCCTCAGTACAGTAGTCAAGGGAAGTTGGTGTGAAGCCTTGCAGCACTATAATCAATTCAGGTCAACTGGCGGAAATTCATGTAAACAAATGATAATTTTCTTTCTGTATCTAGTGCTGCAAAGCTACAGCAGCTCACTCCTTGAAGTGTAGCATACAAGCACCATCCCTTCCCTGTTGTCATACCCACATGAATGCATGTTTGTTTATATAATTACATAACTTCCTTTTTTTTTTTTTAACAGTAGAGATATCTGGGCTTGCATTCATCAAGCTTCTCCAGGAACCAAGAGCTCAATTACTGTGCAAACTAAAACAAAGTTTGGAGTGGCTACAAAAAAATGCAAAATGATGCTCTGAGACACTTGATGAACCCCAGCCCTTGAAGTCAGAAAGACTGTGTTTTATTTGTGCTTTGGATGTGTGATGAGCCCTGGTGAAGCTGTGTGTTATCATTTCATCTGTGCAGAGAAGGGGACTGGTGGCTGGCGCGCTCCCTGACCACTGGAGAGAGCGGTTATATCCCCAGCAATTATGTGGCTCCATCTGACTCCATCCAGGCAGAAGAGTAAGCCTTTTTTTCCCTTGCTCTGTCTCTCGTATCTGTCTTTCATCAAGCACATGAAAGAATTAACACTCAAATGTTGGATACTTAGGAATTTTCTCCCTTTTTATCTCAATGTGCATTTGAAATAAGCACTCAAAGTAATAGTTTGACACTTATTTGTTTTCTTGTCGAGAGTTAGATGACAAGATACCCCTCTTGATAAATATGAAGCTACAGCTAGTTAGCTTAGCTTAGCTAGAGACCTGAAACATAAAGAAACAGCTATCCAAGCCTCTACCTACCAAAATCTTTTAAAGGTTATCAATAAGCTATATCTTGTTGGTTTAATCAATCAATCAAGTTTAAAAAAATTGATGTGATATTACAGGGGCACAGTAACTTCCTGGAGTCAACTAACGGTGATGACAAGACTCCTTGGAGTCACTGCACCCAGACAAGAAATAGTCCCGCACATAACCCCTCATAAACCACCACTAGCTGTTCCCTCTTTCCCCCTGAGTCTTTATGCTAAGCTAAGCTAACTAACTGCTGGCTGTGATGTCATATTTACCGTACAGACATGAGAGAGGTATCAATATTCTCATCCCAGTGTCAGCAAGAAAGCAAATGAGCATATTTCCCAAAATTTGGAAGAACTCTTCAAATAACTGTCGTGCATTTACTGTTTTCCACTCCTGGAGGATGTGCACTGCTGATCTTTACATGCTAACTAACCTGCTTGCTTATACACCAATCCACACAAACTAACCTTCTGTAACAACTCCATTTCTCACTTTTGCCTCCTGCCCCTCCAGTCATCTCAGACTGACTCTAGAGTCCAGGTAAGCAGCTGTTGCACTGTAGGCATTAGTATGCAATGCATCTGGAATGCAAAGACAGAGTTTCACTGAACTTTCTGAAACCATGAGCAACGAACTCACCCCGGCTTCCTCATCCCTTCTCTTCCACCCGCATACATCTTCTTCCCCTCACCAACCTGCTCCCATGTATCCCGTGTTTTTTTTTTTCTCTCGACCTCACCAGGTGGTACTTTGGCAAAATCACTCGCCGCGACTCAGAGAGGCTGCTGCTGAGTTTAGAGAACAGGAGAGGGACTTTCCTGGTGCGAGAGAGTGAAACCACCAAAGGTAAGTGCTTGGAGCCATGTACGAAGAAGAAAACTCATCAGTAGTTCTTAACATCAAGTACCAAAAATTGGTAGTAGCTTGCTCTACATGCTTAAAAATGAAAAAGAGTTTATGGTTTTGTCGAAAAAATATGTTAATATTCCTCAATCTAAGATAAATTCCCGTCGGCTCAATACATTTTTGTGATTCTAATTCAGTTTTTCAGAAGTATAATTTTGATATTGCACTGAAACTCTAAAAAATTAAACAGTAGAACTACGCTATTAGGGCCCCGAGGAGTGTTATGACTTTTGGCTTCCTCTAACAACAGCCCTGGGGTCTCTTGAAGTGCTAATGGCGAGTGAAGTTTTTCTTTAACACAGAGTATGGAAAAGGACCTGAGGAAGTAGACCTAATTATTCAGTGGTATTGATCAACAGTCTTACTCGAGAACATTTTGTCCTGGAAATTTGTGAAAAACATACTTGCTGCAACTTTATTTTTTATTACCATTGATTACCAGTGGATTTTTTTCAGATGTGTGTGTTTCTGTAGTCTTCTTCATGTTCTCTTTTTATGAACTTGTAAAATGTTCAGATCTCAACATGAAGCGCAGTTTGAATTCTATGACACGTCTTTCTAAAATGCACCAAAAAGAAGAAAGCAAATTCTCTCTAGCAGTCAGACATGATATCCTGCTGTTAACTGTGCGCCCTGCTGTGTCGTGTCAGTCGTGTGGCAGTGTGAATACAGAAGAGAGTCAAATCAGGCAGATGGGAAAAGGTTGGATGTGACGCCTGTGGGACTCAGTCTGGAGATAGTTCTGATAGGTGGCTGCTGCTGCTGCGGCGACACAGTCCCTGCAGGTTCAGCTGGCTCTGTGTGTAGGTGTGTGTGATTTTTACACATGTACATTACAGGGTTCCCTTTCGCTATTCCTATGATTGGATATGTATGTTAGCACTGCATAGAATGATAAAAGGGGACAAGGTGGGGAGGGATGGAGGGAAGTAGATGAGTGAGCAGGAGCCATGGAGAGGTAAAGGGTGGGTGAGCCCGACAGAATTAGGTCAGTGTGGAGCTGAGGACTGTACAACCACAGGCCATATCACCCAGTTCAAACATTCAGAGAAGGGGGAGGCATCGCCTTGGGGCCACTCGGTGATTCAGGTTTTTTTTTCCACCAGACTGATGCTGCCCCCTGGTGGCAGAAGGAGCACACTGTCACCAAAATATTGAAGTCTTAATTTCTCTTTTTATATCCATGCTAACAATTTTATCACCCCATTGAAGTCTTTTTGTAATTTGCTTATAAATTAAAAATGTAATCAGATTATTAGAATCAAATACTACTGTAGTATATTTCCCTACATCATGCATTATCATATTTGCTCTTATTCTTTCCAGGTGCCTACTGTCTGTCTGTATTGGACTATGACAACACCAAAGGGCTGAATGTGAAGCATTACAAGATCAGGAAGCTGGACAGCGGAGGCTTCTACATCACATCACGCACACAGTTCAGCATCCTGCAGCAGCTTGTCAATCACTATCGCAGTGAGTTCACTACGACTGCAGTGCTTCTATTTGCTTTATATTTTACATTTTGCAAAAATGACAACATGAGAAAACACTTACTTTCTTACCCTGTCTGTTTCTTGTACACTCAGCAGACTATTCTGTGATCAGGGAGGAAGCTGGACTTTGTTTTAACACATTCTGTCTTTTCTTGTCCCTCAGAGCATGCTGATGGGCTGTGTCACACTCTAACAGACATTTGTCCTGTACTGAAGCCTCAGACTCAGGGCTTAGCCAAGGATGCCTGGGAGATCCCGAGAGAGTCCCTCAAGCTTGACCTCAAGCTTGGACAGGGCTGCTTTGGAGAGGTCTGGATGGGTAAGCCATCTTTTGATCTGTTTCCTGAACAAACTCTGTCTCTGATCCCAGAAACAATGTGAAGAGAAAGTGCTCACTGAAAAGGCGCAAGTTCAAGTAAAATATTAACAAACTATGTGAAGACCAAAGTGCATAAAGAAGTTATATTCGTCCATATTCTTTTAAATCTTTACCCAAAAAGTGCATTGGGTCTCTTTCTTTTCTGTTTAATGCTTTTGTTTTTCATTTCATTTTGTCTTTCATGCTCATGTTCAGTAAACCATATGATCAAAGTGAATTAGCATCAAGCTGATAATTGATTAAGTTTAAACAACCAATACTGACTCTTTTTTTTTTTTCAATCTTTTTTATCAGGAACATGGAACGGTACAACACGGGTGGCAATAAAGACTTTGAAGCCCGGCACAATGTCCCCTGAGGCCTTCCTCCAGGAAGCTCAGGTCATGAAGAAACTGAGACATGAAAAGCTTGTTCAGCTCTATGCTGTGGTGTCTGAGGAACCGATCTACATCGTCACAGAGTATATGGGACAAGGTCGGCACGGTCAACTTATCTCGCTTTCAAATATAAACACTTTCACAGGGACCCAGGAAACAAATAATGTTCTTCTTTATGTCTCTTCAAATAACTGTAGGCTTGTTAAAATGCCATTTAAATATATTTACCTACTGAATGGAGGCTTATGGATGAAGTGACTCTAAAGATTTGTTTTTGACAGGAGCCAGTCAGAACCAAATCAAGCCTTGAGTCATTTATTTCCAGTAAAAACAAATGTTTTTAAAAATATTTTCTCTAAACAAAATGAAACTTTATTGTATTAAATAAACCTCATTATGTCAGTACAAAAATATAAGAAATAGAAGATTTCCTGCAGTAGCACATTAGGAAATTAATACTAAAAAAAGCTGATATGACCACAACAGCTCCAATGTTGTAATACTAACCTGCAGTTTGTGTCCCTGCTAACAGGTAGCTTACTGGATTTCCTGAAAGGTGACATGGGCAAAATGCTCCGCCTCCCCCAACTGGTGGATATGGCCTCCCAGGTCAGTACAAATAATCTGCGGCTGCATCACTTTAATCCATTCAAAATTTTATCTTGGGTGTTTTCCCTCAGTGTAGACAATCACAAAGCTTTGTCTCTCTCTCAGATTGCTTCAGGGATGGCTTATGTGGAGAGGATGAACTATGTGCACAGAGACCTCAGAGCTGCTAACATCCTGGTGGGAGATAACCTGGTTTGCAAAGTGGCTGACTTTGGTCTGGCTCGCCTCATAGAGGATAATGAATATACTGCCAGGCAAGGTAAGACCACAGGAAGGTGTTGATAGTCTCAATGTTTCAGTGTGCAGTAGCACAGTGGTTCCAAACCTTTCTAGCATGTGACCTCTTAAAATGTCATATCTAATTGTGACCCCACATCAAGCAGTTTAATCAGAGTGTTTTTTAAAGGTCTGAGGAGGTGGAAGTATCCAGTATTTTAAAGATATTTTTAGAAAAAAATAAAAGCAATTCTTGCAATAGAGTTTACATTACATTACATTACATTTCTTTCTCATCCCTTTTAATAATCTTTATGACTTGTCAGATTTGGGTCCCTGCAGCCGAGTTGAGAACTACTGATATAGAACCTGTAGTTATGAGGTGTTAGACTCCAGAAAACAGTATGATTCATGCAGCTGGTGTGATCTGCTTTTGTTTCAGTCTGTGCTACAATGATCTAATTTTAACTTGCTGATAAACCTGTCCTCTTGCAGGAGCCAAGTTTCCCATCAAGTGGACGGCTCCTGAGGCTGCTCTGTACGGCCGCTTCACCATTAAATCTGATGTCTGGTCATTTGGGGTTCTGCTGACTGAACTGGCCACTAAGGGCAGAGTGCCCTATCCAGGCAAGGATAATTTTCTTTTGGCCATTGTTTAGTGTGAGAGATTAACCTGTGTATATTAGATTGAGCACACATTGCTTTTATCACCTAGACTCCCGTACTGACGTCATGCTCCACCAGTCTAACAGCATAAAGATTTATGACTGGGAGTATATTGGTTATAAGCAATCACATGATTGCAATTGTGATTATGTGTTACTAACTTATTGTCTTTGCTCTGCCAGGTATGGTGAACCGGGAGGTGTTAGACCAGGTGGAGCGTGGTTACAGGATGCCTTGCCCTGCAGAGTGCCCTGAATCCCTGCATGACCTGATGCTGACCTGCTGGAGAAAAGAACCCGAGGAGAGGCCCACCTTTGAGTACCTGCAGGGCTTCCTGGAGGATTACTTCACCTCCACGGAGCCTCAGTACCAGCCAGGAGAGAACCTGTAACTGGGCTGAACGTGGAAATGTGCATGCCTCATGCATGTGCAAAACTGAGCATGTGCATCTACTTCAGAGTGCATGGACGAGTTGTTCGTCCACCCCGGCGCTCCCCCACCAGTCCCCGCACGCCGTGGTGTGTGGTGTGGTGTTGTGTGGTGGTGTGTGTGGGTGTGTGTTGTGTTGGGTGTGTGTGTGTGTGTATATAGTACAACGGGGCAGAAAGCCGACTGCATTCTGGGTACAATCAGTAACTGTCTGACATCAAGGAGTGTCAGTGGGACATCAAACCAATCAGCAACATTCAGTTCCTGCGTATTTCCAAAGTCAGTGTCATGCTCTCCAACATGTCAGCTCTGAGGGACTGTTTTCAAAGGCAAAGACTGAACTGTGGTATTAGTCTGAGTTTACCATACTGTACGTTATTTTGTCTGTCAATCAACACCCTACACAACCAAACAGGTGTTTCTACCTTCCTTGTGTTTGTAAGGCGCCCTAATGATATACATTCCCCATGCACTCTTCCTGTGTTAATTCACCTGACTGATCTTGTAGTTTGGCAGCTTCAACACTGCAACTGACACCAGACTATGACATAAAAGACATGGGGGAGTCAAACATGGGATTCCAGAGCATAAAGGTTGGGTACAAGTATTGTCCTGCTGAAGGCTCCACTTCAGGAGGTCTATTTTTAATACATTTACTTTGGGATACACACATGCTCAGAGTCCGTCTTCCATTTTGCCACTTGAGAAGCAGCTATTTGGGACATACAATAATATGCCAGGATATTGTTGGTCTTACCTTTTCATTATTATTAAATCTGGATCAACTGGAGTGAATAGTTTTATTTAATAACCATGCTTTCCCCTCCCTCCCTGTGCAACATTGAGGCTAGTTTCCCAACTGCTGTGAGATTTTTGTATGAGACTAACACCCTTGATTCCCATCAGAGTGTATAGACTTACTCGCCAATCGGACGAATTGGTTTATCGCTGTGACCAACATACAGCTCAACACAAAGAAGAGAAGAGGCAGCGTCTCTCTATTTTGTAATTGTGACTTTTCTTACACAACTAATGGCTACTGATCACTAACGGTCTCAGGATGGAGAAGACTAGAATTCTGCTGCGAGGATTTTTGTGCCAATGAAAATCTCTTTTGTACTCTCTTCTACTGTGTAAAAGTGTATTTTACTACTCTGAACTTTTCCTACAATGAAGTCTGAGTCGGAGCAGAGATTCTGCTGTTCTTCTTCTTAAAGGATAAGATCCTGCACCTGTGTACAGTACCAACCGGCTCACCAGCATGGTTTCGAGGTGCTGATTTGTTTTCAAGCATCTAAATTAAAATCAGGTGAATCTTCTTTCATGTCTCCTTTGAGTTCTAACCTTCATTAATATGCAGACTGTTTTTAATTAGCCTCCGCATTTCCCTATTCAGTGCGTCTTAGAGCACAACGGTACACTGGAGATATTATGTTTCTGTTCTCGCTGAAGATCATAAATGAGCAACAGAGTGACACTGTGCTGAGTATGGTTGTGCCTTCCTCCAGCCTGTAGGGGGCAGACCAGAAAACCTTCCCATAAACAGCATGTATAGCAAAATAAATTGGCATCTTCAGACTTAATTGTAAATATCCTTAATGCTAATATTTTGTGTATATATCATCTTTATAATTTATTCCTTTTAAAATAACCCAATTGTTTATTTTGTTTTCAGCATCATCATTGCAAACTTTAATGTTTATGGTACTTTTATGGGTTAAATAATATCTGACAATAATGATATAAATATATATTATAGAAACACTTTTTCATTACAAGTATTTTTGTGCACGTATTTCTGTGAAACCTATCTTGGCTGTACATTTACAATATGACTGACTGAGGAGAACTGCTCTGCATCCCCTGACTCGCCTTTCGGGAGAAAAACACTCCTGTCTTGCCAGATACTGATCATCTACCAGCATTACTCCTTCCCATAAATACAATCAAAACCACAAATGTTTACATCGTGATAATCTTCTAATCATTTTGGTGCTGCTTCAGAGGCTGGTAAATGAGCAGGTAAATCAAGTGTCATTCTCATTAAATATTTGTGTTTTCCTGTGTACACCTGACCAACATGGTGTGTGTGCTGCCATCATCTGTACCTCCACGTTAAATGGTTCGATCGACCATTTTCGGCTTGGATTTCACAAAGCACTTCTGATTATGATTAAATAACTCCGTACAGAAGATGATGTGGCTGCCACGAATGGAAGGAGTTTGATATCTGTGTAGCGTCTACTATGTCCTGTGGACATGGGTTATGCCTGCATGGGTGTAGTCAGGTTGTCTGGCATCCTCCCCTTCTTTCCCTGACCTGTCTCACTGAATGCTTATGAGCAAAAGTGTGGGAAAAAGTGCACAAAAACGGTTCTAATGTTTGTAAGCCTCGCTTACAAGCCAAGGACGTTTCCTGTGGGGTTCTGTGGGTCTTCTTTCTGGCTATGCAGATATTTTTTTAAATCTGTGATATTCCTATATATACTCTTTTCTACTGTATTCAATGGGGATTTTCAGATAAATAGCTCCTTGTTAAATCCTACTGAATATTGTTCAAATTTGAAAGTATGTTTGAATAAAATTTGTATATTGCCAGCTGTATCTGATCTTGTTTATCAACTGAATGAATTCTGTTTCTATAAAGAACTCATCAGCTCACTGAGTCATGAGACTGCAAACAAAGGTCATAACCAATAATGGACCTCAGTCTTACTTTCTTTACATAGAGTTGTGAGTTACCTCAGTGACTGTATGAATTTCTCAGCAGGTTTTTTCCACATACAGCTCATGAATCATGAATTCTTATGAACTAAAGCCACAATAATCTTGTGGAAGGTGACCTTGAATATTATCTCAGCATTAATAGATCCAAGTATGAATACTCGAAGATATATAATACCATAGGGCAAAAACTCACTAATGTGTTTACAGTAATATGAACAAACAATATATTATCGGTTTTAGAATTACATTTTTGTTTATCAGCTGTATAGTATTGAGAAACTTTACCCATGTTGAATATATTACTGCATTCACAGCTCAAGAACATTTTCATTTTAAATTACTCTTCTAATTACACATAAATCACATGGAACATTGTATTATTATATGCCTATATATTAATTATATACTTATGTCTGCATATCATGAGGCAGTATATTCTGTATAGTGTAATGCAGTGCTGGAAGAAGTATTAAAATATTTTAAGTCATTATTTTTTAGTCAGTATTTTAATTTAAGTCAAAAAATGCCACAAATTACTAAAGTATTATCAGAATAAGAGTCATTATGGCTTATGTCAGTGTTATATTGTCATATTAACGTGTAAAAAGCAGTTTAATGTTGTTTTTGGTCCAGGTGGAACTAGTTTGTATAGTTTTGGGGAGTTTAATCTGTATTATTTCTTAATGTTTTTATTTAAAATCTCCATCTGCAGAGTAACCATTAAGTATAGCTGTCACATAAATGTAGTGCAGTAAAAAAAAA